TGTTGTTGCAGTTACTTGTAGCAGGTTGTTTTTTACGGGGTGGAGTTGCGAGCCCCGCGCCCAACCCTCCTCCTTTCTCATTCTGGACTTGGGATCAGGCAAAGGCGTGTTTGGTGTGACGGGGATTCGAACCCGCGACCCTCATATTACGAGTCGAGCGCCCTAACCACCTGATCACGCCGGACCTTGATATATATATATATACGAATTAAATTCACTCATTCATTCATATAAACACACTTTACTAAGGTGAATCTGAAGTTTGTGCGATCTCAGATCTCTCTCTGTAAGTGAAAGTATGTTTATTACTTCTTACTGAATGCTTTTATCTGTGATGTTTTGAGACAAGTTTCTCTCTGTAAGTGAAAGTATGTTTATTGCTTCTTACTGAATGCTTTTATCTGTGATGTTTTGAGACAAGTTTCCAAACCTTTTTACCTTTTTCTTTACTATTATGTTCTAAATCTTTTAGATCCTTGCTGTGCCTTTGCAAGGCACAAAGGGCCGATACTTTCGAATTCCGGTTTCAAGTGGATGAAAATGGTGACTCATTTCAAATGAACGGAAAGTCAATCCATCGCAGCTTAACCTCAGCTAACTACTGGTAGGCCCGGCATGGCCAGGTGGTTAGGGCACTCGGCTCGCAATCTGTGGGTCGCGGGTTCGAATCCCCGTCACACAAAACATGCTCGCCCTTTCAGCCGTGGTGGCGTTATAATGTGACGGTCAATCCCACTATTCGTTGGTAAAAGAGTAGCTTAAAAATTGGCGGTGGGTGGTGATGACTAGCTGTCTTTCCTCCAGTCTTACACTGCTAAGTTAGGGACGGCTAGTGCAGATAGCCCTCGTGTAGCTTTGCGCGAAATCTATAACAAACAAACAAGCGACAAATCCCTATTTTCACTCCACGTCTACAGTACTTATCAAATTGAGTGGAGTCAAATTAGGGATTTGTGACATGAAAAATAATGTAGATACTGTTTTCAGCCTATAAGTATTTTCATGTCCATTTATGTAGAACAAATTTTAAGCTACATACGTGCATATGTATTCAGATGAATTTTACGTGTTTTTGAACGATTTGCTGCTGCATTGGTTATTTTTTCATCCAACCATTGTTTACTGAATCAGGTGATTTTGTGCGTGAAGTTTCGTGTAAACAGGCTTTTAACAAGCGTAGATTAAAAGGGAACCTGCTTACAACATCTCACATATTATGTACTTATAGCTACCTAAATCAACTTTCAATGAAAAATAATCAACTTTTTAAATAGGTCATGGACATTCACAGCGTTTCATATAGCATATCTGTTTAGGTTCTGGTGCAAAATGCACAGCCAATTTTGCTGTAAGCTTGTGAAACAAATATTTGAATAATAATAATAATAATAAAATAATAGCAATAAAATACGCACTCACGAAAATCAGCAGCATAAATCACCACTCATAAGAGTAGAGAAATTCACTACGGTAATCGTCTACTGTCAGAAAACTCATTGAAATAGTCGCAGAAAACCTCGTAGGGACAAAGTACAACTCGAGAAATAATAAAGAACAACGAACTCGAGAAATGTTCAATCCTCAACATAGCAGTTGCCAACTAATGCGCTATAAGTTGCACAAATTATTTTCCCATTAATGCGCATTAGTAAAACTCAAATTTTATCAATGGTGGAAAGCGAAGGACTTAGAGAAATTCTTTAGGACGAAAAAACGAAGGTGCTTGAATTCATTTTAAAACTATCCTGTGAAATACTCAATACTGCATTCATTACTATTGTTCAGGTTTTAGTAAAATATTCATAGCCGTTTTTTCTGTAGCGGTTTATAAGACTATAGTTAACAATAATATGGCTGGAGAAACTGTTATAAATATACATATTGTTCACTCTAATAAAAGGAGCATTTCCGACTAGTATAACGGTGCTTAAATGGCTTCGAAGAGCTTATGTTGGAAGCGAATAAGAGGGTGGAAATCTCGACTTTCTAGAGTCAACTTGAAAGTAACCCTACAACTTTCGCAGAAGTTTGTTTAGTAGCTGTACATAGATTTGTGGGCAGTATACCTAACCGTTTTTGCTGTAGGCTTCGGTGCTTAAATGGCTTCGAAGAGAAACTTGACCAGTAGAGATGAAATACTGATAAAATCTCTTCTTCTATTTCATGAATCAACATAAAAATAGTCTTATGATCTGCACAGGAATGTTTTAGTAGGTCTGCCCAGGTTTGCATAAAATATTCATAGCCGTTTTTTCTGTAGATTTTGAATTTTGTGTAACAATTAGAAAATCATTTTTTTGCTGTTATTAATATCTTATCAGCCTTAGCCATTAGTATAGAAGGTCTTTAGTGGTGTTTCAAGAACATGTTTGCTTTTTAAGTTGTTTTTTTGCCGTATGTTCTAATAGAATTTGTATGAAATTCTTGGGCGATCCCTATTATGAAACACTATCGTGATTCATAATAAGTTAAGTAGATAATCTTGTAATGTTGGTTCGACTTATCATTCTTTTACTTCATTCATGGCTTACAAGTATAACAAACATAGATATTTACAAATAAAAAACAATTTAAACATATATTGTATTCTAAAATTAAAATCGAAAACAGTTACCAAAAAAGTGACGTTGTACAAAACATTGAGTACTTTGGTTGGATAATTTTGATGCCGAACTGAATTTCATCTTGAAAAAGTCAATTTAAAAATCAGTTTAATAAGAACTGTTTCATAAATCTTATGATATATATATGCTACTTAATCTTTCCAAAACGCTATTTCTATTAGATCATCTAATTTACCAATCTCGAAAAACACGTGTGGAACATATTTTGAATAAGTGTATAAAGGTAATGGAAATAAATAATTCACACGCAATATATATATATATATATGATAGAGGATATCCTAGAAGTCATTTAATGAACATCTTCTTTCCAAATAAAACAAGAACTAAACAGGCGGACTCCAGTAGAATAACGTTACTCAATTGAGATTGAGAATGGTTCAGTAAAGGAAAGTAGTGTCTGCTTCGAGTTTAATCCGGATAGTTGTTATAATTTCGATAACTGGTACTTTATCGAATACTTAGATGGCATCAAAACTGGTTAAAATATATGTGTGTATAACCAACAAAGCTTTAATGTTGTTCAGGTGTTTTAAGTTCTTAAGCATCAGTTAATTACTTTCAGATAAAGGTTTGAACAGATACTTTGCTGTATTATTCGTAGTAGTGTTAATGAAAGTAACAGTGGAATAAAATGGAACACCTTCTTTTTTATGTCATAGATAAACAGTATGGAACACCTTCTTTTTTTATGTTACAGACAAACAGTAAACTTGCGTACCTTCTAATAATTGGATTCTAATGTGAAGTACAAGTTGTTGTCAATTTCAATTTTGATTTTAAGCAGTTTGTTAACAATCTTCTATATAGTTTTTGTTAGATTTGTTTTTTGTTTAAGGTAAAAAAAAATTTATTAAGATCCTGTTTCTTGCCCTCTGTGCATAGTTATCGTTGTCTCTACCAACTACTTGTCTTCTGCTGTCAGAAGGTATAATTATAACGGTTTTGGTCACTTTTTAGTTTGTTTAAAGTTCGTAGTTCCACAAACTAATGTTCTGTTCAGGCTTAAAGCTTAATTTCTAAATTGTATTTTTGACTTCCATTGTGAGTTCGGCGGCTTCAAAGTAATTAAGAGTGCTAAAGATCTAGGAAATTTCAATATTATTTAAATTCTAGAAATGAATTGATCTCAGAACTAATAAAACATTGGTAACTGATAAATGTAAAAGTAAATATTAATGAAGTGTGATGGAAGATTATAGGTATAATACTTTCAGAACTAACTTTTCTAAGTCCTTCTTCTTTCAATTCCAGAATGTCGAGTGAGAAATTGGTTCTCGTTCCGTTCTGATCAAACTCAACGAATCCAGTGAGGCCTTTGAACTTTGTCTTAATTATATGAAAATAGAAATGTATATATAAACATATATATTATACAAAAAAAATTAAAACTGAAATCCAAATCGTCGTTTTCGGTTCTATGTTAAACATAATCACCAATATATTCCATCATTTTACTGAAAAAAATATTAAGGAGAAAAATAATTGCTATTTAATGTTAATGCTATTTATTCATAATGTATTTAATTAAAAAAAATGTTATCAACTCTACCTCACTATGCTTGAAAGCAATACCTATAATGGTTCAATTTTTCATATGAGAAAATGCTATATTAAAAACAATTGTTTCTTTCAAGCTCTGCCACTGACTATTTTAAAAAATTCAAAATATTCAATCTTAAATTAGTTAAAAAGCACGTGTATTCAGCCTTTGTATGAGTGTTGGACAAGCTAAGAGTAGGAATGCTTAGCGATTGACTAAAGCATACTACCATGCTAGATATGATTTTGGTTGTTTGTTAAATTTCGCGCAAAGCTACGCGAGAGCTATATGCGCTAGCCATTCCTAATTTTAGAGCGTTAGACTAGAGTGAAGGTAGCTAGTCAACACCATCCATCGTCAACTTTTGAGGTACTCTGTTACTAATGAATAGTGGGATTGTATGACGTATTATAACGCCCCCACGGCTGAAAGGGCGACGGGATCCTGACCAGCAACTCGCAGATTGCTAGCTGAATGCCTTAACCATCAGGCCATGTTAGGCCTACTTGACATGAAGTAGAAACTAAAAATTATCTTTGAAAGTAGAGTGATAGGTTATTTTAGTTAATATTATTCCTTACGACTGTTTGTTTGTTAAGCATAAAGCCATGCAATAGGCTATTTGTGTCGACTTACCGTGGATATCTAAATCCGAATTTTAACTTGATATTGAAACATTGTTTTGTTTTGTTTTACAAATAAAGATTTTTTTTTCTGCTAACATATTAAAACAATTTAAATCGAATATTTCAAAAAGGAATTTGTATCATGTAATTCAAAATTCTATTTTCTTATATTGGAACTAAACCACGAATGTTAAGCATCTCCAAATATTATATCAAAGGTTTTTATTTCACACATGGATAGACCTCTTAAAACTGTAGGAATTTCTATTGGAAAATGCTCTATAAACATAGTTAAAAGTTTCCATACCACGAGCAAACCTATTGGGTGTCCTATTACAGCGCAGCTGTAAACGTCCCAAACATATGTTTCATTGCACACTATTGAGGAAAGAGCATGACATTTTGAATTATTTATTTCCAAAGCGATTTGTGAGGTGATTAACTGGTCCACATTTGTAGGATTGTGTGCACAAACTATTACTCAAATAGCAAAGTATCAGAGCAGGATATGCACTTACCTCTTTCATGATATTTAGAAGATGATTTCCATGTGTCCATGGTTCTGGAGAGTCACAAAAAATGCTCTGAATACGAACTGTTATGTCGCTGCTCATGTTATGCAGACTTAGGGCAAACATTTTCACTGCATCGTGTACAAGGGCAGCTTTTGTCTACAGTTTATAAATACATACATCTTACAATTAAGGATGTTTGTGACACATTAAAGTACAGGGTGATTAAAAAGAATGTTTACACCTACATGGGATTTCCGGTTACTTTGCCCGTATTGTTCGGGACAGGATTTTTCCCAGAAGATGGATTGGAAGAAGTGTTCCCCCGAGATGGCCTGCCCGTTAACCAGATTTAACACCGCGTGATTTTTGGCTGTGGGATATGGTTAAAGAACGTATGTATGACACAAAGCTACGGGACGTACATGATCTCCGGGAAAGGAGAACAGAAATCACGCAATCAATACCGCCTGGTGATGTGCTCTAGAGCTCTGGATGCAACGTTTGATCTCTTTCAGACATGCATAAATATTTGTGGAGAGCAAGTTGAGACTGTATGAAACATAGGAAATAAAAAATATAAACCCATACAAGGGTTAACATTTTTTCGAATCAACCTGTATGTTTTACTATGAATATGCGTAATTTCCTTTAACCTTTAACGTGAAAAAACAATAACAAATTAACATAACGTTAAACGCGTTGAAATGTTTGTGGGTCTCACGTTAACATGTATTTTACATCATCAAAACACACAGTAGTGTGTCGTGCGGCCAAAACAACCTGCAGGAGGACACACCGTGTGTTTACAGGGGTGATAGGTTAGCAATTTTTCACTTTCTGTAGCTCGAACTGTGGTAATCAAAACTATCGGATATTTTCAATGGATGTTCGCTACTGAACCCTTACTTCACATCCGAAATTTTAAGATAATCAAGTGGGAAATACAAGTGATATAAAATCTCTTATTTTGATTGAATTTCTTTCTTTTTTTTTATTCGCACCGAAAGTACGGAAATTTATTTGAAAGAACAACATACTTAACTTTCATGGAGTTTTTCAAATTTGGTGCAATGATAGATCTTTACAACCTACAATTACGTGTTGAATTTAGTCTAAATATAAGCCAAATGTGCAAAGTTATTCAACAAAAACCGCTCAATTCTTGACCAAAATTTTTGCGCACGTTCAAATTAGGGCATGAGATTAGTTAAAACAAAATACGCGGCCTGGCTAACTAATAAATGAATATTTACTGTAACATTCTTATCAACACTATAGGTGTAGCTACCAGTTTGGCCGCCAATTTTGATTTCATTCCTTTAAGTCGCACGCTGAATCATAAGTTATAATAATATCAGTAGCATTTGTAAATATGAATCATTAGTTCAGGAGGGATTGTTCGTTTGTTTGTTTTGAATTTCGCGCAAAGCTACACGAGGGCTATCTACGCTAGCCGTCTTTAATTTAGCAGTGTAAGACTAGAGGGAAGGCAGCTAGTCACCACCACCACCCACCGCCAATTCTTGGGATACTCTTTTACCAACGAATAGTAGGATTGACCGTTACATTATAACGCCCCCACGGCTGAAAGGGTGAGCATGTTTGGTGTGACAGGATTCGAACTCGCGACCCGCTGGTTGCAAGTCGAGCGCCCTAACCACCTGGCCATGCAGGGCCGGTTCAGGAGGGAGGAAGAGTTCAGAAGCGTATCTGACCCCTCCAGGTCACAACGACCTAAAACCCGGTGCTGATACAAGCTGAATCCTTTTCTGGCCGCATCTTTTTTCACACGCTTCACAATGGCATAGCGGTATGTCAGCAGACTTAGAACGCTAGAAACCGGGTTTCGATACCTGTGGTAGCAAAGCATAGACAGCCAATAGTATAGCTTTAGGCTTAACTTCAAACAAACAAATTTGTTCACACCTAAGGTATTTTTCATTAGATTTACATATAACATGTAATATTCACGCCGTATTTAATTCTGATAAGTTCAGAAGAGGAAACTATTTTTCGTATTCATGCCTATATAGCTCTCATGTGCAGTCATGCATTATTTAGTATAAGATTTAGTATCATTTATTCTCGGTACTTTTCTCTCTCTTGTGTGTTAGAACTAGAAGGCGAGTTGCATCAATAAACATTTTAGGAGATTACCGAATCTTGTAGCTTATCATACTTAAGAGGTTCTTTTATTACTTTTTGATCGATACGTACAGGCATCATGAAGGCATACTGATAATTAAATTAATAGAGGGCAGTAATATTACTCGTAGAGACCCAAATATATTAAAGAGTGGAAAGACTATACATATAAGCAACTTTTACTCCATATAAAAATAAATTGCTGAAGAACATCAAAGAACATTTGCGACACATCTCATTGTGACATACGTGAGTAATAAATTGCTTTAAAACTAAATAAAACATAAGTTTACAGAAAAAACGATCACGTAATAATTCACTTAAAATTTAAAACCAGACACGGAAATGGCTTTGAAAATAGCATCTTACAAGGGAAAAACGCATGCAACTTTAGAATATATTAATAATTGTGACATAAGTTAAAGGTAAAGTTGAAAGGAAATGAGAAGAATGAAATAGGCAGTTGCTATAAAACATGTTCAATAATTTTCATTTTATTACAGAACGTTTCGGCTAAATAGATGCTAAGTCATATAGAAACTGCTGTGTTACAACTAAATCGATATAAAAAAGGAGAAAAACAGTATAGCACAAAAAAGGTAAATGATAAACAAATGTTTTTAGTGTTTACAACGTCTTACACCGAAACGCCCTTCCTCTGATGATTTTAAACTATCATGGAACCCTTTTTTGGTTTCAGTTTAAAGTACAGCATTATTGTTTTTTTGGAATTTCGCGCAAAGCTACACGAGGGCTATCTGCGCTAGCCGTCCCTAATTTAGCAGTGTAAGACTAGAGGGAAGGCAGCTAGTCATCACCACCCACCGCCAACTCTTGGGCTACTCTT